TGTAAGTCTCGTTAATTCACAGGTTTCGCTTTGTAGATCCAATACCATCCATGCATACCATTGAGCCAACCATACAGCATTCTTGCTTTGATATCAATGCCTTGTTGCTGCCAGAGGTACCATTATCCAACGTATTCACCTACCATAAACGCAATGTGAGATAAGAAGCAAACCCAATCCACACGCTTTTGTTGTCAGCATACCCGAAAGAGGCAATGTGAAGACGTCTTGAGAACTCTCATTGTGGACAACTCGGTAAGGAAGACACACGACGCCGTGAACCATGGTGATCACAAGGAATTGCAACCAAATACACCATCCGAAGGCAATTCAATAATCAACCTGCAGCGCCAAGGTATGCCACCATATGTACTATACTCTCATTGGATCCTGAAATTGGCATCATAAGAGATATCCACCTTCTCTCTGTAGGCAAGGAAATCAATAGCCGTACTTGGATGGAGGCCGTGTGCACAGCGGATGCATTTTCAAATTGGCCTTGCCATCGCATCTTGAGTCACACTGTTTCCGGGCCAAAATTCCCCAGGAGAGCACAGTACTATACAATGGCATCCTTGACGTGCAGCCGTGATAATAATAGTATCGCCGAAAGAGGCTCTGCCACTGTATGGCGTTTGGTAAGTCCACTTGAATCCAACCAATCCCATCATAATGAACACTTTTACCTTGTGGTATTCCTCAATAGCATCATTGCCTCGAATAAAGCCGTATCTCCATGTCATCCATATTGTCTTGCTGCTGTTTTATGATAAGGTTGGTTAATTAACAGGGTTCGCTTTGTAGATCCAATACCGCACACACCATTGAGCCAACGTACAGCGTTTTTGCTTTGATATCAATGTCTTGTTGCTGCCAGAGGTACCATCATTCAACATGTTCAACCTACCATAAACGCAATGTGAGATAACGAGTAAAACCAACCCACACGCTTTTGTTGTCAGCATACCCAAAAGAGGCAATGTAAAGACGTCTTGAGAACTCTCATTGTGGACAACTCGGTAAGGAATGCACACGACGCCTCTTTGGGTCTTGTATAGACGAGACAACACCAACCTACACGCGAACTTAGTACCACAATGTTCGCCTTGAATAATAAAAGGAATTGCAGCGATTGAACTTACATGTTGTATTGGAATGGAAGCTTGTGTCATGGGTAGATCGCGCACGTGCTTGTTGTAACTGAATGTGTCGCCATTGCCCACCTGTTCACCCATTGACGGTGTGCATTGTTGGCAATGCCAGAAGTTAGTGGTGTGGAGACAGTGTAAATGGAGTTGGTCTTACCTTGCATCGTTGTGAAGCGGGAGTGGGAGAAGGTCGTTCCTTTCATTGTTCCTGATTTGTGCCTTAACAATATCCTTTACACTTGAACCGATAACGACAATGCGAGGTTTCATGTGAGTATTAGCCCTCGAACAAATAACCGAATCACTATTTACCAATAATAGCCAAGTATGCACGAAGACATGTTGACATCCAATAATAGCTGCATTCTTGAAATTCCAAAGGACCAGTAGACAAGTAGCTTGCTGAATAGACCACATACTACAATAAACGAAGAGGTTGGCAGGCGTTGTAGAAACGAATGGATCACTATTTACCAATGATACCCATGTATGCACGAAATCCTGCTGATATCCAAATCAAGCCGATCTTGCAATCATTCTCTTGTTGATAAGACCCGCTACGTTGGCACTCGGGTTGTAAGCGATGGAACGACACTTGATGAGCTGTGATCCTGTAAACTCCAAAGCACCAAAAGACAAGCAGCTCTCTGCAATGGTCCCTCTAAATAATGGTAGGCGTTTCAGCAAAGGTCTCCAAAAAGCATGAGAGTCATACATACCTGAATCACGCAATCATCACCCGCAGACTTGGAACCAAATAGGCCATCAGGATGTAAAGTAATCATAAAAGCGCACAGCCAAAGGAACGTCATTGTACCGGCACTCTCCTGTGGATCGACGCGATGAAGTGCATCAATAGAGATACCATCTTCTCTCTAAAGGCAAGGAGATCAATAGCCGTAAAACGATGGAGCCGTGCGAACAGAGGATGCATTTTTAAATCCCTGAGGCCGCAACATGAGTCGCACTGTCCCCGGGCACAACATGTAGAGCTCCACAGGAAAGTACAGTACAATGACATCCTTGACGTGCAGCCTTGATAATGATAGTATCGCCGAAAGAGGCTC